AATACTGGTCCTGTGGTGGTACAGATTGGATTGTTATGGTCTGTTACGGTTCCAGATTGGTTAATACTGTCTCTCTGGTGGTCAGGACTGGTTAAAACAGGTTCTGTGGAGGTCCAGACTGGTTTGCGATGGTCTGGTACTGGTCCATATTGAAAAATACTGGTTCTGTGCATGTCCAGACTGGTTTGTAATGGTCTTGTACTGGTCCACATTGGTTAATACTGGTTCTGTGGTGGTACAGATTGGATTGTTATGGTCTGTTACGGTTCCAGATTGGTTAATACTGGTTCTGTGGTGGTCAGAACTGGTTAAAACTGGTTCTTTGGAGGTCCAGACTAGTTTGCGATGGTCTGGTACTGGTCCATATTAAAAAAATACTGGTTCTGTGCAGGTCCAGACTGGTTTGTAATGGTCTTGTACTGGTCCACATTGGTTAATACTGTTTCTGTGGTGGTTCAGATTGGTTTGTTATGGTCTGTTACAGTTCCATATTGGTTAATACTAGTTCTGTGGTGGTCCAGACTGGTTTGTGATGGTCTGGTACTGGTCCAAATTGAAAAATGCTGGTTGTGTGCAGGTCCAGACTGGTTTGTGACAGTTTGGTACTTCTCCAGATTGGTTAATACTGGTTCTGGGGTGGTCTAGGCTGTTTTTTTCCTGTCCAGACTAGTCTAAACTAGTTAATGGTGCTGATCTGGACTATTTTAACCTGATGTTGTACCAGTCTAAACTGGCTCATTGTAGTTTCTGTTGATCCAGACTCATTAATTCCAGTCTGGTTTAGGCTGATATGATTCTAGTCCAGCAAACTATATATACTGGCTCTGAGTTATGCTGCAGTCTAGTCTCACTGCTTACATGTGCATATATTTTTGTCCAAAGATTCGCGCAGCCAGTATTATGGGATGTGTATGCTGGGTTGATAAACCTGCCGCTGAGTAAAGCTGAAGCTCATTCTGTGGAGAAAATCATCTACCATGCCAACTTCAGGTCAAAAAGCTTCAGCTACGACATAGCGCTGATAAAGCTTGCACTACCTCTGACTCTCAATGGTTAGTATCTGCTTTTTTTTACTTAACTTGAATAACAGACCAGATTTAAAAGAGTTTATCTCCTTTTTCTCTGTTCCCAGATCAAATAGCCCCCATCTGTTTGCCTAATTACGGTGAGAGTTTTAAGAATGGACAGATGTGTCTGATCTCAGGCTGGGGAGCCACAGTGGACAGTGGTGAGTGTGGTTCCAACTTTTAAGGGCACTTAAAAGATATAAACTCTAATGCTTCTGGTAAAGACTTTTAGCAGTTCTGTAGACATTAGAAGGACTCTGTTATGTAATTTCTGATTGCACGTGTGTTGCAGGAGAGACTAGTCTTTCTCTACATGTCGCTCAGGTCCCTTTACTGTCCAACAAAGAATGCAGGAAACTGGGTTTGACAAACTGGAACGTCTGCACAGAATTTTTAAGGGGTGTTGGAACATGTCAGGTACTGCATTTGCGTATCATCACAATAATTTATACTGACAAAAAATGGATCATTCTAAATGATTTACTTCAGCATGTCGCATCTAAAAGAACTAAGTTATTACAACTGCAATACAATGCTGGAAAAAAAATTGTTTAGTAGTAACAAGTTATTTTTACCCCACAGTCTAAAGACATGTGCAATAGGTGCATTGGGTGAACAAAGTTGGCTGTAGTGTACGAGTGTGTGTGTGTGAATGTGAAAGTGTATCTGTGTTTTCCAGTACTGGGTTGCGGCTGGAAGGCCATCCGCTGCGTAAAACATATAGTAGCGGTTCATTCCGCTGTGGCAACCCCTGATAAATAAGGGACTAAGCTGAAGGAAAATGAAAAGAATACTATAGCAATTATTGAAGCAAAGTGTGTTTGCCCTAGAGGTTAAGCTGTGGTCTTGTGTGTGTAGGGGGACAGTGGAGGGCCGCTGGCCTGTCAGGGGTCCGCGTGGACACTGGTCGGGACAGGCAGCTGGGATGAAAACTGTGGAAAAGTAAACAAACCAGGAATTTACACTAGCATAAGTGAAGCTCTTACATGGATTCAAGAGCAAATGGAGGTAAAATATATATTTACTGAAATTACTTTTGTGGAATTGAGTTGAGATAAACTGTATTTATTTATTAATAGTTTGATATTTTAATAAAGATAATAATAACAAAGAACAGCTTGATTTTGTTATTTAAATTTTTTTTTGGAAACTAAGGGTATTCATTTCAGTGACAAATTCTTATTAAAAGATCAGACAATATTATTATTTTAGGCATTGTTTTTTTTAAGTGTTTTTACAAAAAAATCAATAATAATAATATTGCTATTATTTTAACTTATAACATTAGAACAAATGTAAACATCGCAATAGAAAAAATGTGAACATCGCAAATAAAAATATTTTATTTATTATTTATTAAATATTCTATATTTTAAGTCAAAAATGCTTATTATTATTATTATTATTATAGAAGATCTTGTACAAATATTCAAACTGGGAAAACATAATTAGTAATAAAAGTTTATTTATTCCAAATCTATTTTAGGCTGTACAGATCTGGCAAACGTAAACCACACTCTGCTAATAATCTGACTTAGTACCTGATCAAACATTCATGGCTAACTAGTCACTGGGTGTGAGCAAAGGAGATCTGAGAGTTCAATTACATTACCAAGTGGCAGCTGAACTTTATTCTGATTGGTCGGTTAGTGTATTTCATTAACTCTGCTTTCCAGCTGTCTTTGTTGATCATTGGTAAGTGTGTTTGTGCTGATGAATAACTGAATATCCCCTCAGGGTCCCTTTGACCTTTGAAACGTATTTTAATTTGTGTTTTTCTGAACACTGGAGTCATCTAGTGGCAAACTCCATGTTCTGCTTGAGCTTTACAATCTAGGTTCTCAGTTCAGGTTTACACTGATGTTACATTATAGACCATTTCAATGTGGCCATGTCAATGGCCCATGAACATTTACTGCTTACTGTCAAACTATTTTATAACTGTAACAAGAGGCAATTCAATCATTACTTAATGTTGAAACAGCTATCATAACAAGATTTATTAATATGTGGACCTATTTGGATTCTCGGAAGCTATAGACATTAAAAATGTAAAACAGGAAATATGTTGGGATCATTGTTTTTGTTTACATCCTTCAAAATGTTGGCTTTTCAATGTCGGAGATGTTTGCAGCATTGTAATAACTTGAATTTTATTCATTTATTTTATTTTACTCAGAAAGAAGAGAATCAGCTACAGTGAGCATCTCAACAAGGTGGACAAGCTGCAATTAAAACTCTATGCACATTTTCATACACATCTGGAATATTTATATATAAGACAGATTAATATAAACAGGTATATTTATATAATAAATTCCCTTTACATCTAGAGTTTTTTGTAATTGAGTTAACATGTAAGATGCTCTTGACTGTTCTTATTTATGAATGTTATCGATTGTACATTAATTATTTGTCCAATCATTTTTCATTTATCTATGCATATATTTTTGTATGTCAAGCCAAATGTAAACACTCCTAATGTGATGCATTTATCCTCCTGATTAAATCTCTATTTTGCTCCTCCAAAAGTTGTTTCCTGGCCTCCAGTGGTTTATTTTTGTATTTAAAATACAAAACAATGAAAGCACTGGCAAACCAGTACCTCTCTCATGGTGGCCCACTGAATGGGACCTGGATGGGAGACCACATGGGAAAGCTAGATTGCTGCAGGATGGGGTTAGTGAGACCAGCAGGGGGCACTCAACATGTGGTCTGTGTGGGTCCTATCGCCCCATTATATGGAAGGGGACTCTATGCTGCTCAGTGAGTGCCGTCTTTCAGATTAGATGTTGAAACCAAGATCCTGACTCTCTGTGGTCATTAAAAATTTCAGGATGTTCTTTGGAAAAAAAAAAGTGGGGGTTTAATCCCGACATCCTGGGCAAATTCTGACTTAACCATCCCTATATCATAATTGGCTTCATCACACTGTCTCCTCTCCACCAATCAGCTAGTGTGTGGTCAGGCACAATACGGCTGCTGTCATGTCATCCAGGTGGATGGTGCACACTGGAGGTGGATGAGGAGATTCCCTCCAAATATGTGCAAAGTACTTTTAGTGTCAAGAAATTGGCTACATACAGTTGAAGTCAGAATTCTTAACCTCCCTTTGAATTTTTTTTCTTTTTTAAATATTTCTCAAATTATGTTTAACAGAGCAAGGAAATTTTCACAGTATGTCTGATAATATAATAATAAAGTCTTATTTGTTTTATTTCGGCTAGAATAAAAGCAATTTTAATTTAAAAAAAAAAACATTTTAAGGTTAAAATTATTAGCCTCTTAAAGCTATATATTTTTTTCGATAGTCTACAGAACAAACCATCATTATACAATAACTTGCCTAATTACCCTAACCTGCCTAGTTTAAACTAATTAAGCCTGTAAATGTCACTTTAAGCCACAGGTGTCAAACTCAGTTCCAAAAGGGCCGCAGCTCTGCACAGTTTAGTTCCAACCCTAATTAAACACACCTGATCAAACTAATTGAGTCCTTCAGGCTTGTTTGAAACCTACAGGTAAGTGTGTTGGAGCTGGGTTGAAACTAAACTGTGCAGGGCTTCGGCCCTCCAGGGATTGAGTTTGACACCCCTGCTTTAAGCTGTATAGAAGTGTCTTGAAAAATATCTAGTCAAATATTATTTACTGTCATCATGACAAAGATAATATAAATCAGTTATTAGAATTGAGTTATTAAAACTATTTTTGTTTAGAAATGTGCTGAAAAAAAATCTGCTCTCTGTTAAACAGAAATAAACCAAAATATATTGATCAAATTTAAACTTAAAAAAGTAAAATTTTACCCCGTCAAAGTATTTATTTGTTAATGCGTCAGATATGGCAAAGGTTACACTAAAATACTCTGTGGGCCCTCACGGCCATTTTACAGGAAACGCACACACACAAACAAATACAAGATCACACACGATGATGTGGCCTTCAGGTACAGTGTTCTTTATTATAAAACAAAAAGTCTGAAAGGCAAATCTGTGTGTGTGTGAGTTTGTGAGTGTGTGTGAGAGAAGCGATTATAGAAGCGCAGAGAGAAAAAGTGCAGCGTTGAAAACCTCCCCATGCTAAGCTAACGGAGCCGACTGTCTCCTTTTGGGTTAGCTAGTCATCTGACTGATGGCATCACATTCACAAGACTACAGCTGGAAATGAAAAGCCGCTCAGTACAGACTGCCTAAAGCACATTCTGAACACGCTAAATAACAGGGATACATGAGCTTAAGTAAGTGACAGCTGTAGAATCGCAAAACGGGACAAAATAGACGCATAATCCAAATATATCAGCTTATTTTGGTATCTCATGGGGTTTATTCTGATAGATTGTGAGCATACGGTATCTAAAAATACAATAATAAATGAAAGCACATGCAGTCAATTCTTAAATGTTGAAAATGTTTTGTTTTATCCACGATTTCATGGTGAAAAACGTGAGAATTGTCCATGATAACGCAGATTAAAAAGAAATCCATCATTAATGTTCGCGCTAAAGAGGTTTAACATCAAAGACGAGTCCCTCGTGAGTCAAAAAAATATACATAAATACAAAGTCTGATCGACGTCCTTCTCTCTTCCGCTTCTGTTGGGAGTTTTCAGCAATATGATCATTAAAAAGCGATAACAGTTCCTTCTCATATAACAAGTACAGGCATTTATATCATAAACATTATCACAACCTTGCAAATGCATCGTTTTTTTGGCCACGGTATTCATGTCGATTGCACAGGAAGTAACATCAGATATGTATGGAAGCTTATTTCCACCACATTCCCATCACAATTATTATTTTTCAGTTCTGAGAAATACAGGAATTGTGAGATACAAGCGAACAATTCTGAGAAGAAAAAAAGAAAATTGTGGTATTTATTAAATTGTGGTGTAATTGGGAAAAAACTCAGAATTGCAAGATATAAATAAACTTGCGAGAGATCAGCTCAAAAAGACAATAAATAAATTGCGAGAGAAATTCAAAATGGCTATACAGTTAAAACAGCAATATATAAACTCAATTTGAATAAATAAACAGGACAAAAAGGAACTCAGAATTGCAAGAGGAAAAACTAAATTGTGAGAAGCGAACAGATTAAAATTGAGAGAAAAAAATTACAGTAAATTAAGAGCTGTGAGATACAAACCTGGAATCGTAAGAACTGGGTTACATCATAATTGCATTAAATAAACGTATAATCGTGGGATTCAAAATTGCAATAAATAAACAGAATTACGAGATTCGGTCAGAACTGTGTCGAATGAAGAAAGACAAATAATTACAAAAAACCTTTTGAATTTAGAGACAAAGAGTTGTAAAGAACTCAGGTTTGCTTGAAATAAACTCAGAGTTGCGCAAGATAAGCTCGCAATTGCAAAAAACTTAGGATTTTGCAAGAAAAGATCAGAATTAAAATCAACTCTAGATTACGCATGAGATGAACTTAAAATTTGTGCAAGATTAGCTCAGAATTACAATAAACTCAGGACTGTGCCAGTTCAGAATTTAGGATTGTGTAAAAGATAAATTTAGAACTGCGCATTAGATAAACTCAGCTCAGAATTACAATAAACTCAGGACTGCACAAGATATAAACTTAGAACAGCACAAGATAAGCTCAGAATTTTAGTGGACTCAGAATTGCGCAAGATAAACTCGAAATTGCACAAGCTAACCTTAGAATTACAATAAACTCAGAATTGAGCTAGATAAACTCAGAATTAGAATAAACTCAGGATTGCACAAGATAACTTCAGAATTACAATAAACTCAGGATTGCGCAAGATAAACTCAGAATTACAATAAACTCAGGATTGTGCAAGATGACCTAAGAGTTACAATAAACTCAAGATTGTGCAAGATAAACTCAGAATTACAATTAACTCAAAACTGCGTAATATAAGCTCAGAGTTAAAATAAACTCAGGATTAGGTAAGAGATGAACTTAGACTTGTGAATGAGATAAACTCAAAATTTGCGCAAGATAAGCGTAGAATTACGACAAACTCAGAATTGCTTAAGATAAGCTCAGAATTAAAATAAACTCATGATTGGGTAAGAGATAAAATTAGATTTACAATAAACTCAGAACTGCGTAAGATAAGCTCAGAATTGCAATAAACTCGGAATTGCGCAAGATGGGCTCAGAATTATGACAAACTCAGATTGCGTTAGATCAACTCAGAATTGCAATAAGCTCAGAATTGAGCAAGATAAACTAAGAACTACAATAAACTCAGGATTGGTAAGCGATAAACTTAGACTTGCGAATGAGATGAACTCAAAATTTACGCAAGAAACTCAGAATTACAATCAACTCAGAATTGCAATAAGCTCAAAAATGTGCAAGATAAACTAAGAATTACAATAAAATCAGAATTGCGCAAGATATAAACTTAGAATTGTGAATGAGGTAAAATCTAAATTTGCACAAGATTACGAAAGATAAGCTCAGAATTAAAATAGACTCAGGATTGCGCAAGATAAACTCAAAATTAAAATAAACTCAGGATTGCGCAAGATAAACTCAGAATTAAAATAAACTCAAGATTGCGCAAGATAAACTCAGAATTAAAATAAACTCAGGATTGCGCAAGATAAACTCAGAATTAAAATAAACTCAGAATTAAAATAAACTCAGGATAGCGCAAAGATAAACTGAGAATTGTAATAAGCTCAAAACTGTGCAAGATAAACTCAGAATGGCTACAATGCTTAGAATCGCAATAAACGTTGAATTATGCAAAAGATCAACTCAGAATAGGCCAAGTCAAGCTAAGAATTCAAAGAGAAACTCAAAATTATGAGACAAGTTTGTAATTCTTAAATAGAAACAGAAAAGTCCAAATTGTGATATATATATATATATATATATAACCTCACAATTCTGAGAACAATAATTAATTACATTTTTGTTCATTCGGTGGTGGAAATAAGTTTCCACAGATATGAGACTGTCTCACATTGTGGCATTCGAAATGTAAAAACATAAGGCATCGTCAGCAACTCTGCCTTCAGCATACAAATCATTGTGTACTTTATACTAAGTAGTTACCACAATCCAAATCCACCCATCCAAAAAAAAGCAGGGTGAGCAGGTTAAAAGTCTTTTTCATACATAAATACTCCTTACAAAACATAGCAAACCAGAGCAAAAAACAAACAAACGGAGAAAACAAACATATTGGCACCGATCATCTGTGACAGTGTACTATAAAAATAGTTCCTTCTTTTTCCTGGTGCCTGATTAAAGCAAACACAGGCATGCAAGAGACGAAATCTCGTTGTGGAAATATCCCAGACCGTCAGGATAAGCACAACCCAATCATCCAGCATTAACAACTGGTTTTTTTAAATCAATTTCCTTCCTTTTTTAGCTCTTTCGAAATGTGCTTTGAACACTTTCTTTAAGTTTACAGTATCATACAAAAAGTGCACTCGGCTAATCTGTGTCAGAAATGCTTTGCGTGAGAGAGACTTGTGCTTGTGTCTTGTTTTTTTGACCTGTGTGTGTGTGTGTGTGTGTGGGGAGGGGGGGTCGTTTTGTGGTGTGTGTGTGGCTTTAAGCCCTTTTCTCTGTTCTCCAAGCGGGCTGTTTGACAGCTGGAGGACGTGTGCAGCTGAGGTGTGTGTGTGTGTGTGTGTTTGTGTGGGACATCTCCTTCTTAGTGCTCTGTTGTCTCTCTCAATGCTAACGTGAGTGTGCGAGTGTGTGTGGTTCAGTCCTACTACAGCGAGTCGCTGGTCTCCAGGCCCAGTCTGCTCATGTCGGAGTGAGACGGATCGGTGTCCTCGTCCTCTTCATCATCTTCATCGTCATCATCCTCACTGTGGCCTCCCATCATGACCTGCTGCATGGCCAGCGTGGCGCCATCTGATGAAAGCGTCTGCAGGCCGTCTTCCCCCACACCCACGGTTACTGTGGTGCCTGAGAGTCATGACAACAAAACCATTACAACCTTAATATGAAGAGCAAATGATGGCTCTGAACAATTCAATTACGGCCCTATAAACATATATACAGTTGAAGTCAGAATTATTAGCCCTCCTGTTTATTTTTTATTTTTGCCCAATTTCTGTTTACCTTAGAGATTTTTTCAGCACATTTCTGAACATAATAGTTTTAATAACTCATTTCTAATAACTGATTTATTTTATCTTTGCCATGATGACAGTAAATAATATTTGACTAGATATTTTTCAAGACACATTTTTATAAAGCTTAAAGTGACATTTAAAGGCTTAACTAGGTTAATTAGCTTAACTAGGCAGGTTAGGGTAATTAGGCAGTTCATTGTATAACAATGGTTTGTTCTGTAGACCATTGGAAAAAAATTGCTTAAGGGGGCTAATAATATTGACCTTAAAATTGTTTAAAAAAACAATTAAAATTGCTTTTATTCTGGCCGAAATATAACAAATAAGACTTTCTCTAGAAGAAAAAATATTATATGAAATACTGTGAAAAATTCCTTGCTTTGTTAAACATCATTTGCGAAATATTTGAAAAAGAAAAAATTGACAGGAGCTAATTAGACTTTAACATTATATACATATATATTGATTCCATTATCTTTACTCATCCTCCACTTGTTCCAAACCTCTTTGAGTTTCTTCATTCTATTGAACAAAAAAAGAAGATATTTTGAAGAATGTTGGAAATTGGTAACCATTGACTTCCATAGCATTTCGTTTTTCTACAATAGATGTCTGAAGCAATTGGTTTCCAACATTCGTCAAAATATCTTCATCTGTGTTCATAATAAATACTGGAAACACTTGAGGGTGAGAAAATTCTGAGATATAATATAACAACGCAATTATTTTCCGAAAAGGGTATATGCGGAGGGAATTTAAATTTGGCAGTAACCTGAGGTTCAGCGCTTCCTGTGAACTGTATGCCATTATCAAATTGCCCCGTTTAAGGTCTGTTTTCTTTACAAACAGCAATCTCCACTGGCTGAGTGATATCCGATATAAAGTGGGTCTCAGATTGTACAAGAAGCACTGCATTAAATTACATTTTCCCCCGCCATGTCTTTAAAATATGAACATTTATTTTACCCCAGTATATAGCTTCTGCGCTAGCCTGCTAATCCTGACCGTGTGAGTGAACAGCTTTTTGTCTCGTTTTATGCTTGAACAACTAAATGAATGCCAAAGTCTATACTGACTGTATTTTAATTAGATTATAACATTGATGCTGAAAAAGGAAACGTATAAAATGGAAAAAAGTCACATTAACCGTTCACCGGAAGTTTATCAGTATGGGAAGAAATACCAGCTCTGCATAGACGCTAGTGTTTGACTGCGTACATTTTCTGTGCTTTGATCATATTTAGTTTTAATTGTGTTTCAGCAGATATAATCTAAATGTACTTGATAAAATCTGTTGATAAATTATCAGGATTAACAAATTTAATTCAATTCAAAGCAAGAAGGTCGCTGGTTCGTGTTCCAGCTGGGCCAATTGGCATTTCTGTGTGGAGTTTGCATGTTCTCCTGTGTTCGCGGGGGTTTCCTCCGGCTGCTCCGGTATGCCAGAATAGTTGGTAGTTCATTACGGTGTGGCGACCCCTTATAAATAAGTATACTAAGAAAATAAATTTAATTAAAATACATTAATAGATGAAAATTGCAAATATCACAAATACTCAGTTAATAAATAATATGACAAATTAGTTTTTTTTATTAAAATTTAAATTTGTTAGCATTACATAATTTTTTAAGTTAAATTAAGAAATTTATTAAATAATTAAATGGTTATTAAATGAAGATAATTGTGAAAATCATGTGCTACCAATAAATAAACATCACCAATTATTAATATTTAATTAGAAACAGTATTCATACATTCATTTTCCTTCAGCTTAGTCCCTTTATTCATTAGGAGTCACCACAGCGGAATGAACCACCAACGTATCCAGCATATGTTTTACACAGCAGATGCCCTTCCAGCTGCAACCCAGTACTGGAAAACAGCCATCCACACTCTACGACCAATTTAGTTTTCCCAATTCACCACAGCGCATGCCTTTGAACTGTGGGGGAAAACGGAGCACCTGGAGGACACCCACGCCAACACGTAAAGAACATGCAAACTCCACACAGGAATGCCAAGCCAACTGACCCAGCCGAGGCTTGAACCAGCGACTATCTTTTTGTGAGGTGATTGTGCTACCTTGACACCCCATATTGTAATACTAATTTATTATAATATATGATACTTGGGCAGCTGAAATTTATCAGGGCTGATTTAAACTCCCAACAATTTCATTAAACACCTTTATAAAAAGTGTCAAATTGCCAAAAATAAATAAATTAATTAATCTCAAAGGTAAAAATGTAGGCCATCTATAATAGATTGGTTTCCAAATCATTCAATGAAGGAATCGTCTTTTAATAAATAAATAAATAGTAGCAAACAAAACTTTTTCTGATATACGTAATTCATTGGGGGTTGCTAATGTAAGCATCAAATTACCATAATAATCATACAGCAATGTGCTAAAGCACTCTGGAAACCACACAGATATACCACACGGCAACCATCATTTTTAAATAGGAAGTAAGCTGCGAACAGCAAATGCATTTTATGCTCAGCTCAAACTAAACTAATTCTGCTGTTGTAATGCCTGATGTTATGGTCGTACCGTCCTCCATGGTGACCTGCTGCTGGGACACAGAAGAGGCGAGTGAGTTTGGCCAGAAGCGCTGTAAAGGCCGCGTTTGGGGCGTCTTCTTCTTGCTCTTGGGTGTGTCTGAAGAGCTGGCGTCCAACATGGGCTGAAGGATCCGTCGCCGGGCGTTAATAAACCTGAACACATCAATCAGATACCAATTACCAATAAGCCAATCAAAGGCCATCCAGATGACTACATCAACCACAACAACTCACCAGTTGTTGACCTGCAATAGCGTGAGGTTAGTCTGCAGGGCGATCTGCTTCTTCTCATCTTCTGTTGGATAAGGGTGCTGGGAGAGACAGAAATAAGATACTTTTGCTTCGTATGGGTTAAGACCTGGATAAACGCCAATGAACAAATAAATAACTGTGACACTAGCTATGTTAACATCCAAAGATGCGATTAGATTTATGAGCAAAAATGGAATATCGCATAAAACATTAGCTAATAAAGCCGTGGTCACACTGCGCTCTTCTCCCCATAGACTTCTATTCATACGCATGTGAATGAGTCAGACCAGAGTTAGTGAGTCTGACCGGAGTCAGTGAGACCAATAGTAGTTTGAAGGAGCTCACCAGCTGAGGTATTTTTTTCAGAATATTGGCTTTGGTAAGTGGTTTTGAACTCCCAACAAACTTAATTTTGGCCTAGTTTTTGACTAAATGACTTCATAACTATTTGCTCCATTTTTAATTAAAGAAAGCAGCTTGCAGGCTAAATTATACTTAAGCAGTCTCCTTTGAATAAACACAAAGAAACCTGGTACAAACATACAAAGTAACTGTGATCAGATACTTTCTTAATTGCTGTTTTCTGACTGCTGTGTTTATTTTGTTATTGAGAGGAAAGAGCGTATATTTGTATAATCAGCCAAAGCCCCACTTTCAGCATAACTGGTTAATAAACTGAAGTTATTTCAGACCCCTAACTGAAAAAAAAAAACAAGAACGTCATCTCGAGTGCATCAGGGCCTTCAGATTGTTTATTTTTACACTCTCTATATGTTCACTTTCTCTTTCTCTGCTTCATTTGAACAATGTCTCTCTGTGGGCCAGCCGTCCTAATAGATGCCTGACAGAAAATCTCGCCGCCAGGCCCTTCAGTGATCAGTGCTCTCTCCTGATGCTCAGTCATATGAGCTGCTGACATTTGTAAATGTATGTGTGTGTGTGTGTGCTTCATAAGCCAGTCATCTTCAATTTACACGCTCACTTAATTCAACAGTATATTTTATATCAAGCATTTCTTCCAAACAATATCAACTTCAATCTCAAGATCATGCTGTTTGCATCTCAATTGACTTGTATTATGTGATGTGACACTGTGGTAAATTTGTATTTTTTTTTTTATGTGAAATGGCAAAGGTTAGAAAATGAAGGCAAGACACTACAGGGAAATATCTATTTGCACTTGTCAGTTGTCAGATTTTGTGTTTATTTGGGTGTTCTTTCAGTTTAATATACTGAAAACATTGAAAATACACTTAAGTTTAGTCAACTTATGTCTGATTTATCATAGATTTCTATTACGATATACATATTTTCTCTCTTAAAACAAGTTTTTTTTATGTTATAAATCCCCACTTCAGCAGCACTTATATATAACAAACATCACAGTTTTATTAACATCTATATTCTTAAGTGTTTTTCCAGAGGGATATGTTCATATATAATTTGATTGATTGATTGATTTTTCTATAAAGATAGTGAAAATGTATTAACTGGCTGAATGTATTATTAATTATGGAGTGATTAAAGTGATATATATACAGAAAACCCCGTCTATAAAATCAATACATTTTTATAAAAGTTAAAACTTTTCAACTTTATTTTCAAATTTGTGTTCAAGACATGTGAGCAAATGAGCAAATATTTAATGTAATCATGTCTCATTTGCATATTTTTCAGCATATCTTTTTTTCCCGCATTTCATTCAGTCAAGTATGAACTCATCACTGTCTCGCAAACTGCGTCACCTGACCTCCCGTCTGAGCGCGTGCCTCTGCCCAGGGCCAATCCATTCATCATCAAAGTGAAAGGAAGCTCACGCCCAACAAGACGCATATGTGCAATGAACTGATTGTGGATTAAAGCTAATAATATTGTAAATTATGTTCAATTTTTTACCCAGACCGTTTCTTATCCTCAGTGTCAGTATAGGGTGTGTGTTCACCGATGTGCACCCCAGAGTAGAAATGATCTCATCCTGTAGCGCTAAGAGTTGTGCATGGCTTTCAGTGCAATGTAAACAAGATACGTTAGACGAATTATTACAAATGATTAAAATGATTATGCATGTATGAACACAGATGATGACAACAGTTCATTAAATACTTAACTAATGTATAGCTTAAATTAATATTAGACAAAAAAAATATTTATTTTTATTTGTATTTATTTATTCATTGTTTTGTCATTTATTTTCATATTAAAATTATCACTCAAACTTTTTCATTTATTTACTACTATTTACTTACATATTATTGTTTTTTTTTTATTAAAGGTGCAGTAGGTGATTGTCTTCAGAAACATGTTTTGTTGTGCTGGTTGAAAGTCTCTTCACAGTCCAATAGTAAAGATTAAAGTAAAGGATCTAAATGTATTTATATGTATTTTGTTTATTCGCGGTAAAGCATAAAACTAAACAATGTACATCCAATTAAATATTGTCGGGCCGACATCTCCCATAATTCCAATAAGTTGCTCAAACTGCCTGTCAGCAAATGTAGATTCGGACTTCTGCGCATCTGTTCATGCAGATCCGCTATTCGCGCGTGCCCGCCTGCATGATCGCCGCACGTTCAAGAGACAATCACAGACGAGGTGAAATCAAATGCTGAATTTGAAACTTTTGAAAATCCTGAATCAATATTGGAGTTACTTTTGCATGCTAGAGGAAGGACGACACCATAGCTAGTCCTACTGTTAGACAAGTAATGTTCTGTTGAAAACTATTTTAGCCAGGCTAAGCTTATGTTAGATTGTGTTGTGTTATGAATGCTTATATGCGTCTTGTTCAGCCACTGTAATCTTCCGGCGAAAGATTGATGTGACTATTTTCAGTTTTATAAGGGATGTTTTACATTATTGATAATATAGATTTTTATTTAGTTTAACAACAAAACATCAGTAAATATCGCTATTCCGTCTAACCGTAATTTCCATGACTTTTACAAAACCTTGTGAGTTTTTCTGTTTTTCCAAAACTTTTCCAGGCCTAAAAAAATGACATGTGATAATTCCATGACTTTTCCAGGTTTTCCATGACCGTGTGAACCCTGTTTATTGTATTTATTATCCAACAAAATCATCTCAATTAATTTAATTTTATTCAATATTTCCAAATAGAGCTGGTGCAAGTATACTCAATATCGTAATATGTATTGCATTATCACGAAAATTCTAGTTTCGACTTTAAACGTGTCGAGAACCATTGCTGTCTATGGAGGATGAGGGAGCTCTCAAAAGTTGTGCTTTGATGATAAATGAAGGTCTCAGGGAATTGAAATGACACGGGTGATCCAGTAGCCAGGAAACATCCAGGGTGACACTCAGATTAAAGGTTGGCCCACCCAAGCAAAAATATTTTAAAGCTGAAAAATCCTGCATATAAAACATGCAATTCATGTGGAATATGAATGTAATTTGATGTTGATGATTAATAGTGCCCTTTAGTCTTTGTAAGTTTGTCAGTCAAATTTAAAATCTCCAACCATTGGCCTAAAATGGAACTATCCAACTAATAATGGGCACTTTTGACTCGATTTGCAGTTTTTTTTTATTAATTTTCTTTGCAAAATGAATGATGGATACTTAATGTCAGCTCACACCACGTTAAATCAATTACTATATCATCAGAGATTATAAATATAAAGAAATTAGTTGTTTTACACTTAAGAGTAGGCACTGAGGTCCTGATATCACTAAGGTCTACCCCTCTTGGCCTCCAGACATATAAAAGGATTACTTATGCACATCACCTCAAAAACAGAGGAGAATGGCCCTGAAGGTACCGGTACCGGGTCCGCAGAGTTTAAGTGGTTAAGAGAGCTCTGTAACTTGGTGTAATTTTTTCTGTTGAAAACCTATCAGACACTATAAAACAGTGACAAACCGAAGGATCTGACTTACACCAATGTGCTGGAAAAGCCATGAACGCATGACGTTGGTGGCGTGTTTTGGAAGGATGCCTCTCTTGGCTTTAGACGAACCGTCCTCCTGACTGAAAAAACTCAGATCCTGGTTGAGCTGCAGCTGAAGCTGTGTGCAAACCGACGCAACATGAGTGCTAATGCCGTTCATATTGGAATAGAACATGAAATCTGTGCTGCTAAAGAGCCAAATCAGTATATTAAAGATTAAAACAGTGTGTCTCACCTGTGAGTTCTGGATTCGTACTGTTCCAGGTGACAGAGTTTGTGTGACCACCTGCCCCTGTGGAGTGACTACTGTAACGGGTTGATATACTGTACCACCTGTGCAAACAAACACACACACTCACATGGTCAACGCAGGGCTAAACGTTTACTTTTTCAATACAGAACTTGATGAATGTAATGCAAGTTAATTTATTCATTCATTCGTTTTCCTTCAGCTTAGTCCCTGATTGGGGACCCCACAGCAGAATGAACCGCCAACTATTCAGTTTATTCAGTATTTTGTTATTAATTTATTATTATAATAATTATTTTATAATTTATTATAATAATTATTATTAAAATAATTATTTTTTTTATTCATTTTCACTACAAAAGTTGAAACATTTTTATTTTAAACTGTATTTGTTTATTATATTTATGGAATTTTGTTTATTCTAAACCTTGAATCAAATGTAATGTAATGTGTGTAATTATATAGTGCATTTATCGTGTATGGCCATACACCCAAAGCACTTCACAATCATGAGGGGGGTCTCTCCACACTACCATCGGTGTGCAGCATCCACTTGGATGATGCTATGGCAGCCACAGGACAACGGCGCCAGTGTGCTCACTACACACCAGCTATAAGTGGAGTGGAGAGACAGCGATAAAGCCAATTCTGTGGATGGGCAGGATTGGGAGGCCATGATGGTTAAGGGCTGAGAGGGAGTTCGGCCAGAACACTGAGGTACTGAGAGACACAGAGAGCACTTGTATTTGTAAACATATAAAGGGTTAGGCTTTTATTGATGGTCTCTCTTATTTAAAGCTTTAGCATTCATGCAGCTGCTTTGTCCCAGAGACATCCAAAGGCAGAAACGCGAACCACAGCTGTATGTGTACACATTTGACTACATTACAAACTCTGTGGATGGATAAGCATCGTGAACAACTTTGATGAAAGCATATAGAGGAACACTTTCGCATGTCGAGATGTACATAACATGTGTGTGTGCTGGCGCTCACTGGAGCACTTCTTCCCGTGCACACGCGTCAAGCAACTGAAGCAGAGCTTGAAGGTAAACAAACAGCGGTTTATCATCAGCATTTTATCAATAATTTTTTTACACAGGTGGCATTAAGAAGAAACATAGAAATGTTATTCGACTAACATCTAGTAGCTAAATGTGTCTGGAAAAATATTCATAAACATAATTTTTTTTTTATAAACAGCATCTGATTGTTCTGATTGGCTGGACTAGACGTCTCAGGTCAGCATGTTCTAAGCATGAACAAACTCTTTCCGGCAATTTTCCTTCTGCGTTCACACAGCAGCATTCTCTGTGAATTTCTGAGAATGTATTTACAGAGATTTTCAAAAAGGGCCTGTTCACACATGATCCCTTTCTAGAAAATTGCTGGTAATTTTCCAGAAAGGTCTGTATGTGTGAAAAGGGCTACTTGCTCTTGCTTTAGAAGATATTTTGAAGAAAGCTAAAAACCTGTAACCATCAACTTCCATAGCATTTGCAACAATGTAAGTCAGTGGTTACCCGTTTTCAGCTTTCTTCAAAATATCTTCTTTTGTATTCAACAGAAAAAAACTCATAAAGGCTTATAACCACTCGAGGGTGAGTAAAGAGGTAGTAAATTTAATTTTGTGGGTGAACTATCCCTTTAATATTTATATTTAGTCACATACACATTTATATATTTAGTTATTGTATTTACTAACATGGGGCAACGCAGTGGCGCAGTAGGTAGTGCTGTCACCTCACAGCAAGAGGGTGGCTGGTTCGAGCCTCGGCTGGGTCAGTTGGCATTTCTGTGTGGAGTTTGCATGTTCTCCCTGTGTTCATGTGGGTTTCCTCCAGGTGCTCCTGTTTCCCCCACAGTCCAAAGACATGTGATACAGGTGAATTGGGTAGGCTAAATTGTCTGTAGTGTATTAGTGTGCGTGAATGAGTGTGTGTGGATGTTTCCCAAAGATGGGTTGCAGCTGGAAGCTGCGTAAAAACGTGCTGGATAAGTTTGTTGGTTAATTCCACTGTGGCGACCCCAGATTAATAAAGGGACTAAGCCGAAAAGAATATGAATGAATGAATTGACTAACATGGACAAACAATGAACAATACATTTATTACAGTATTTATTAATGTATGTTAACATTAGCTAATGGTGTCGTTCATTGTTGGTTCATATTAACTCCAATTTGTTAATTAGCATGAATTTGCATTTTAATAATGCATTAGTAAATGTTAAACTATGATTAATAAATGCTGTACAAGTACTGGTCGTTATTAGTTCATGTTAGTAAACACATAAACAAATGAAACCTTATTGTCAAGTGTGACCTGCAAAGAAATATGCAAATCAGACTTGAAAAGAAAAGTAAAGGAGTAAAACAACCAACCTGTTACCATCTGTGTGGGGTTGACCGCTGTGACAGTAACATTGCCCTGTTGTAAAGCAGATGCTGGCACTACGATACCTTGTGGACTCATGGCTCCAGTGAATGGGTTTTGCGGCTGTGAGAAAAACACATGCAATGAGTAGGGCCAGACGGAATCTGCGGACGTTTTTTGCTATTTCTGCTAAGAATTTTGGTAAAAGTCTGCGGATTTCTGCGGAATTATTTTGGGAGTATCATAACTAAAACTTTAAAATATGAAATAAAAAATAATATATTTTTAACGTGTATTTAATGTTTAAAATGCAAATTCAATTAGATTCACTTTATATGGTTGGTAAACAAAGCAAGTCTCTCATATAATATATCTAGTAAAAGACGTGCATTGTACATAAATCATTGTACATTGAACATTTAACATGGTCACATTAGTCAATAATTTTACTGAAATTATTTAAAAAACTGAATAAATATAGATTGACACACATTTACACAAGTAAATAAACTGAATTAATGACGGTCTGAAAATATGCGGAATTTTCCGTGCGCAGATTCCAGGTGGGCCTAGCAAAGATGGAGACAGGTGTATACAGCATCTCTCTGTGAATTTTACCTGTGTCGGTGATGGAGAATAGGGGCTTCCAGGATCTCCGCTAAGCAGAGTCTCGCTGTTCATCTTGGTCTTGAGGCAGGCGATGTAGCGGCTGCAGAAATCTTTGCACAGGTCATTTACCTTCTCAAGCTCCAGCAGGTGAATTCGTAACACTTGGATGGCCTTCACCATCTGAGACCAATGAGAGAGAGAAGAGGACAGTCAACAAAACACTAAAACAGGTTTAATGAACTACTAGATGTCTGTATGGGTATTAAATAGGCCTATTATGCCCTTTTTTACAAGATGTAAAATAAGTCCCTGATGTCCCTAGAGTATGTATGTGAAGTTTCAAAATACCAAAAAAAAAAAAAGTTTTTATAACTCTATGAAACAACCTGTTTTAGGCTTTGATCCCAATTGTGCCGTTTTGATGACTGGAATTCAGACATACTACTCTCGTACTACTATATAGTATGGAAGTATGCAATTTCAGACCCAGCCAATATGAAGAGAAACAGAGTTCTGGTGATTTTCAGTCATAAATTTAAGTTAAAGTTAACATACAGTATGTTTACAGACCTTTACGATAGCGCTAAAACACAATCCAATTCAATGTGTAAACCTGTAGAAAAAAATCCTAAAGCAAATAAAAAAATTATTTCCTTCATTTTAACAGTAAATTGTGCACAAGTTTTATAGACTCATATAATTTTCATAATTAAATGCATGTCTATAATTAACAAAATTTGTTCAAACTATTTTTATAATAACATTTTTAATACTAGTAGGACCCCTAAAATATTACTATTAATGTATTTGAATTTTTCTTGATAATTTCGTACAAGCTTCCCACGTTTAGAGCTCTAAATTATTCGGAATGTGTACTTTTACAAGCTAAAAAGAACAAACAAAATCTAATTGTTAAAAAAGATCATTTATATATACAGTCAAGCCCACAATTATTGAGTGAAATGACTTGCCTTAACGGGACTTTGATGTGGCATCATTGTGGAAAAAAAAATCTCAGCTATGATTTACATATGAACAAAAACGTTATGACAGAATTTGCCAGGGGTATGAATGGTTTTAAGCTTGATTGTACATATAAAACAATTGACCAACAACATATACGTCACACATTCCTGAACAAAATGTTTATTTAAGAAACTCACTTTTATTGAATAAGGATGCATTAAACTAAGCGCTGCTGATTACCAATGGTGATGAAACTTCAATGTCATTTTAGATGCAACAAGGTGCTTCATACCAGATTGTCCAAATCAGGGTCCTCGCTGAAGAAAGCCTTGCCTTCCTTCTCCTGGTTTCGCACAAAGTTCTCGATATCCACATCGAAACTGGCCGAGGTCACGCACTCCGAGCTCTGAGTGGACTGCTCGCATTTCTCAAAGAGCAGCGCCAACAGGGGGAACAGCGGGTGTCTACAGTCAACAAACACAGCGAAGGATGCACTTTCTAGAACACGCCAAAGATTACATTTACACTTCTGCAAGCAGTTGGCAGATGCATTGAATACAAAGCAATGAAGGTACACATAAATTATATAATGAAACATGATCACAGTTAATTAGCTATAGTTTAGAAAATGGTCATAAAACGACAAGAACAAATTCATCTTGACAAAGTCAGATAACTCTAATAGAAAATCAAACCAAAAATATTTCTGACATTTAGCATGACACAAATAACACTTTGTTGGGTCACCATTAGCCTCAATGACAGCCTGTAGTCTCTGAAAAAAAAAATCTCATATCATGACGTAAGTCATCTCTCATGCTGATAATGACAAACATAATTTCAGTAAACTTAATCAGTTAATAATTTACATATACACACACACACACACACACACACACACACACATATACATATATATATATATATATATATATATATATATATATATATATATATATATATATACATATATATATACATATATATATATATATATATATATATATATATATATATATATATATATATATACAGATGAAGTCAGAATTATTAGCCTTCTTTTAATTTTTTTTTTTATATTTCCCAAATTATATTTAACAGAGCAAGGAAATTTTCACAATATGTCTGCTAATATTTTTTCTTGCAAAGAAAGTCTTATTTGTTTTATTTCGTCTAGAATAAAAGCAGTTAATTTTTTTTTTTTTAATTTTAGGTCAAAATAATTTTTTTTAGCCTCTTTAAGCTCTTTTTTTCCAGTAGTCTACAGAACAAACCATTGTTATACAATAATTTGCCTAATTAATCTAACCTGCCTAGTTAACCTAATTAACGTAGTTAAGCCTTTAAATGTCACTTTAAGCTGTATAGAAGTGTCTTGAAAAAAATCCAGTCAAATATTCTGTACTGTCATCATGACAAAGATAAAATAAATCAGTTATTAGAAATGAGTTATTAAAACTATTATGTTTATAAATGTGTTGAAAAAACCTTTTCCCTGTTAAACAGAAATTGGAGAAAAAAATAAACAGAGGGGCTAATAATTCTGACTTCAACTGTGTATGTATAACACTTTTCAAAAACTGATGATTACAGGCCCAACATAAAAATAAATAACATAACTAAATAAAATGCAAATTGTTAACAATTGCACTTTCAAGATTGCAACTTTCTCACAAAGTTAACTCTGCATCCCCAGGCAGGTAAAATTATATTCTAATATTTCATACATAATATGAGAACTTATTTTGATAAACAATGTTTTTGTGACCCCACACAATAAACAATAGAGTATAATATGAAATGTTAGACTTTTTATTTTGTCCACATGATATATATACTTTATATATAAATATTTTTTTCAAATATTTCCCAAATGATGTTTAACGGAGCAAGGAATTTTTCACAGTATTTCCTATAATATTTTATAATTATTTGTTTTATTTTGGCTAAAGTAAAAGCAGTTTAAAAATTTTTTAAACCCATTTTAAGGTCAATATTATAAACCCCAATAAGCTATATTTTTTCCGATAGTCTACAGAGCAAACCATCATTATACAATGACTTGCCTAATTACCCTAACCTGCCTAATTAACCTAGTTAGGCATTTAAATATCACTTTAAGCTAAATACTAGTATCTAAAAATATCTAGTCAAATATTATTTACTGTCATCATGGCAAAGATAAAATAAATCAGTTATTACAGATGACGTATCAAAACTATTATGTTTAGAAATGTGTTGAACTAATCTTCTCTCCGTTAAACAGAAACTGGGCAAAAAACAGGGTACAAAAATACAAAAATACAGTGCGGCTAATAATTCTAACTGTATATCGTCAAATTGTATTTAAACTTCATTATTTCCCAGATTTTGCTGCAGCTTCTTCACTTCAGTTGTCTTTTATTAAACTGTATGAATGAATTTTTGTATAAACAATCCTACATTTGACTTCATTTTGCTATCCTCACATACATAAACAGAATATAGTATCCTGCACTCGCTAGTAAAAGAAAAAAAATCAATGTTTACATCTGGTATCTGATTAATTTTTGGTTTGACTATTTATCAGATCTCTTTCCCTTTCGAATTGAACTCACACTTTAAAACTTGATAGCAAAGACGTAGCATAAATGTAGTTACCTGTAAATGGCTGACTTGTAGACCTCCATAGGAGTTTGTGGCTCAGACGGAGCCGAGCCGCTGTCTTCTTCTTCTTCGTCTCTCTCCTCCTCCTCCTCCTCTTCTTCCTCTTCCTCCAGCCTCTCCTCCACTTGTCCCGCTGTCGGTTCTCCCACTTGCATCTGCACGGGATGGGGAATGAAGATGTGTGAGGGATGTGGAAGTTAGCGGTGTCAGCTGGCATGTCTGCGGGCAGTAACGTCCGTGTGCGGGGCCACTCTCACAAACACAGCCTCCCTCTGTCACACAACGACACCCTAAGGCTCCACATGGGCTTTCACAACCTCCTTCTCAACAAAAAAGAGCTTCTTTCTCCAAACCAAAGGCTACTCCATCTTTCTCTGTCAGATTTGTAAAGGTTTCACAGATTTAACAGAATGGTCTTTACACATTAGTTTCAGACTGTTTAGCAGGAAAAACAGAGGAAACATGAAAACAGCAGCACCTTGCAAGATATTACAGATACTACTAATGGAATGATATATTCTTTTGTTTAAGTGAAAAGCTTTTCACTTTTTTCAGGGTTATAAGTAATCATGGTACATAAAAAAATGACTAGCTGATTGTTCAAGCTAATTTAATAAAATTAGTTAAAACAACACAACTTAAGGTTTTTTGGGACAACTTAATTGTTTTATGTTCAATCCACTTAAATGTGTAAAAGCGATTACGTTAACTTAATTAAATAGTGTTGAAACAACAAAGGAATTGTGTGGAACCCAGCATTTTTTAAAGTGTAGGTGTTATAACAGTTAAGTGAAGCAAAAATTACTGATGACATTACAGCAAGATTTCTACATCTACACACAGACTTCACTTATATACACTATATATCCGCAGGCTGTTTAAAAAGTAATACCTTTAACTGTTAGTTATTAGGAATTAAAGTTATTAGTAGCTAGTAAAATGGTAACTAATAACCTTAAAGTTTCTGTTTTTCTTTTTTTTTATGATGCAATAATATACTCCTTTTGTAAAGCCGCTTTGAAACTAGAATTATTGTGAAAACCGATTTAAAAAATAAACTTGAATTAAATTTCCTTTTGTTGCTAAGATTTCATTGGTTAACTACACTAGAAAGAATGAACTATACAGCATTTTATTAAAACATAATGTGATGTCGATATAAATAAAAATAATTTTGTCTTTAAAATGGTGTTTAAAAAATTAATAACTGCTTTTATTCTAGCCAAAATAAAACAAATAAGACTTTCTTCAAAGAAAAAATATTACCAGACATACTGTGAAAATTTCTCTGCTCTGTTAAACATAAATTGGAAAATATTTAAAAAAGAAAACAAAATTCAAAGGGGGGCTAATAATTCTGACTTTAACTGTATATATTAATTGATTAATTAATTAATTGATTAATTAATATTTAATGATAATTAGAATGTATTGCAAATGTATTGTAAATCAAAATGTATGAAATCTATTGTTCATTATTGGCTTCTGGAACCTTAGTTTAAAATGTCATGTTATACATTTATATAACAATTTAACTTATTTAATTTTGGCTAGTTGTCAAGAAAATGTCATATTTTTATTAATGCAAAATCATAATACACATTTAAAAAATAATAAAATAACGTGTTAATTAAAAAATGCTATAGTAGTAAAGTTTATAGTTTTAGAAAATTGTCCAAAGACAAAAATGGATGATAATAGTTTGGTTATAAATATAACTTTGATAATGGGTTTTAACCACTTCAAATGTTAAATATTGTATGTATATATATATATATATATATATATATATATATATATATATATACACACACACACACACTACCTTGGGGTCAGGTTTTTTATGTTTTTTAAAAGAAAATCATTCTGTTCTTCAAAGCGACATTTATTAAATGTAAAAAAAACTGATTAAATTGTTAAATATTTCTTTAAATTTTAAATAACTGCTTTCTTATGGTATGTAGTTTCAAATTAAATTATTACTCCAGTCATTATTGCTTTTATTACTATTACCAATAATAATAATTATATTAATAACAAAAATTATGATAATAATAATTAATATTAGTGATTTCTGAAGGATCATTTGACTGAAGACTGGTAGTGAAGTTGAAAATTCATCTTTAAAATCACTGGAATAAATAAAATGAAATCAAATTATAAAGTTATTTTATAGCGCAAAAACATTTGACTATTGTACAATGTGTTCTGTATTTTAGATTAAATAAATGCAGATTTGGTGAGCAGGAGAAGCTTATTTTAAAACATTTAAAAATCTCACCGACACCAAACTTTTGACCTGTAGTGTATATGTACATATATACACATATATGAAGAGTTCAAAGGCTAAAACCTCTAAGTGCCTGAAATCTGAAATTTTCTTCTAAAACAAGAATTTTTCTCAGCATTTTTTCATTGTATGGTAAATGTCTCTTTTCATTGCCTTTAAAGTGAAATAATTAATTTATACTACTAATACAGACTACAATCATTCCTCACTCACATGCCTGGTTAATGTTTTGCTTTATCTCAATGACAGTTAATGGTAGACAAAAGCATCATTTATGTTAAAAAGGGAGAAAACCCTGACTACTGATTTACTCTCTTTTTTACTACATTACAAGTAGCCTAACACAAAATATACTTCTGTATATGAAAATAAAATAGTTTCAAAATGAAAATATGACAAACTTAACTGGAAATAAGAGAATTTGCAAACTGTGGGTCTGTCCTTATCAGAGTCTATGAACAAGGCCCATTACCCACAGTTCTGCTGGTTTCTCCTCTCATTCGTACAGTTTGTCCTTTATAGTTGGACAGGCCCACATGATTGAGTGCATGTGATGGAGAGCAACAATAGTGTTGATTGAAAAGGGGGGAAATGATAAAAATATTTCACGACTGCTGGAAAATCTCGGGTTAGTCTCGAGTCTCGCTATCGCTCCATCCGATGCCGCAGAGGTCAGACTTCCCAGAATTCACAAGACATCAATCACAGTGTCAGATGTTAGATTGCTACGTTTACAAAACCGTTAATGGTTTTTATTGCAATGCACGGATACGGCGCACTCACACCAAACAAAAACCAGGCTGAATTATCTGGCAACACAAACCTGTTCAGCCTCTTGGTAATCCTCCATGGACACCGATGGGGATGTCATCATAGTTACTGTTGCCGTGGACAACGCTGGGGCATTCTATAAAGCTGATCTTCAGCACCGCTATAACTGATACAACAATAGAAACTCTGATGTCGACGAACTGTAAAACATAATATGCTGCTTTAAAATGCAATATCAACAATATATAATTACACAAATAAAACTGTGCTTTACATTCTATACATGTAATATTTTATTCACATATCATATGCAAATACATGCATGCTAATTAGATTTTAAAGTGCATAACTACTATTTGCTATTATACTGATAGCAAACAGAGATTTTAAAAAGATAATTATATTAATTTTAGCATTTCTGCACAATTAATTAGCTAGCTATTATTAAAATGACAGTAATAATTACTCCTTACATTTATACAGCAAAGCGCTTTACACATTGGGGGAATCTCCTCATCCACCAGCAATGTGCAGCATCCACCTGTATGACACAACGACAGCCATATTGCGCCAGACCGCACACCAGCTGATTGGTGGAGGAGGCAGAGTGATGAAGCCAATTATGATATGGGAATGGTTAGGAGGCCACGATAGACAGAAGCCAGTGGGCAAATTTGGCCAGGATGCCGGGGTTAAACCTCTACTCTTTTTCGAAGGACATCCTGGGATTTTTAATGATCACAGAGAGTCAGGACCTCGGTTTAATGTCTCATCCGAAAGACGGTGCTCACTGAACAGTATAGAGTCACCTTTACTATACCGGGGCGTTAGCACCCCCACAGACCATAGGTTGGGTGCCCCCTGTTGGCGTCACTACTAATCATGTGAGTTGCAAAGAGCTAGATGCCAGCAAATAGGACTTAAAATAACTTTGATTATTAATTGTGAAGCACTTCACTTTATTATAATCATTATATTTTACATGTAGCTATTTTATTTGACAAAACTGTGTGCAAAGTAACTTTCATTTCATTACATTTCTGCACATTTCAATTGACATAATAAAATATTATAGTTAAAGTGTGTAAAATAAATTTATTTTACTGCACAATCCATTTGCTGTTTTTAAATATAATTATTAAACAAAGAACACACGAAACAGCTCAAATGTCAGTCTCTTATTTTTGCACAGTTGATTTGCTATTGTTACATATGATCGCAAATTAAAATATAATTTAGAATGCCATTAAAAAATATAAATATTATATGTTATAATATGTATTTACATATAAATATTACAATTGACAACAACTTAAAAATACCGTAGTTTGAGCCATTTTTGGACACTTAATTTGCTATTGCCATGCTATTGTACACACAACTTTGCTTATTTGAAAGTAAGCATCGCGCAAAAAAAACAAAATTTTCTGCAGATTCAATTTACTATTACTAAAAACGATAGCAAATAGTGCACAAAATCATTTTAATTTCAGCATTTTTGCACAATTCATTTACTGAATTTGGTAGTAAACAGGACTCAAAATAACTGATTTTATCAACTGTTGCACACTTAGTTTGCCATTAAATTTTAAATTCAACGAATATACTTGACAGTAGATAGTGTGCAAAGTAACTTTAATTTCAATATTTGTCGGCTCATTTTTACTTTCTATTGCGAATAGAGTGTAAAAACAAACTAAATTTCAGCACCAAACTATTATAGTAAACAAATCATTTGCTTAAACATAATGATTACATTTGACAGCAAATAGTGCAGTTAACAACATAAATACCATTTTTGATATTTTACTATTTAATATAATTGCAACGTTTGAAAATGAACTTTGAACTTTTTTTACACACTCCTATTAAATATACATATAAATAGAAATAGTAGTTGTAAAAAATACATTTCAGCAAATGTTTCTCACTTTATATGATGGTAAACAGTTCATAACAACATTTACGCTGATTTCATATTGTATTATTACAACTGAAAAAGAGCAAAATTACATACATTTCAGCGTTTTGGCACATTTCATATGGTATTATTAAAACTGATAGTAGAGAAATCAAAATTACATGAATTCTAGCAACTTGTGCACTTTATTAGCTCAATTGTACACAACTACATGTGCTGTCAATCAAAACTTTGTGCTTTACTGAAGTGATGTGTACAGATAACGTTGCCTTCCATTAGCTTTCTTCGACATACCAAAACAAAACAATGTTTTACATCCATAACCACAGCAACATCTGCAGTGCTTTCAGATGAATACGAACCGGCGATATAAATAGCAGCATCATTAAATATAGCCGTGAGGGATCTGCACTGCAACGCGCCTTCAGCAAGCGAGTGATTATGTCTTCGAACACCTAAAAAGGCTCTCCATTTAAAAACAGAAGCGTTCACTCATTAATCATCTCAATTTCTCGTCACATCTTCGTCATGTCTATTTCTCCAGCAGCTCCAGATGACTGTATCTCATTCTCTCTATTACTGTAGGCGCCATGTTTGTCCGCTCAACAATCGCTACATGTTCATATCCATAGTCAGTGTTTTCATTCGAAGAGCCGAACGCCCGCGAAAACCTCTGACGCAATTAGTAAACGGTTACAATTATGCGTCATGACGAAAAAAAACTAAAACTCAGCCTTCAAGAGTTTTTTCCGACTTATAACGTCTTCAAATATCGCGTCTGTCTCTTTAAATATAATAAAAGGCTGCCCATAATCGCCTATCAATCAATCTAAGGGACATCGGGCTATCCCTCCCCACTAGAGCCGCCGCCATTCGCACTTCTACAAAAGATCATTAAAAAAAGAGCTGGGCCTTGACTGTGTGTGTACGTCGAGCCAGAAAATTTCCCCCGAAACCGCCGTCCAAACATCAGATTTGAGCCCAAAAGCCTCCAGACCGCGCGCCTCCCACGGAAGCTCGATCTTATGCGCCGAGTGCATTTTTAGCGCGCGGCCCAGATCGCCTGATTGATAGGGAGTCGGAAAAGAAGATTTTGAGTGACAGCTTACCTTAGTGCCAATCTTCGTCACAATGACAAGCGGCTGCAGCAATCGGGACCCGCAGTTCTTCCATGTCGTCACAGCGTAACGGCACGCAGGCAACTTTGCTCATGAATATTGATGAGGTGGGAGGAGACACGGCGGTGCAGGGGAAAAGTGCTCGCCCCCTGGAGACTTCTGTGCGGGGGTAACGGAGTTATGAAGTACAGTGCTCACATATTTGAGTACACCCCTCACAAATCTCTCATTTAAATCAATATTGTTCTGCTTTATGGTGTTATATCTGTGCATATACATTAGTTTGGTCAGTATTGAAGCCAAATCTGGAGCTAATCTAACAAAATAACTTACAATAATGGTTCAAAAATTAGTAAGCCAAATTTATGTGTTAGGGAAAATATGGAGTCAAATTAGGGCCACATATACTTGCAAAATAAAATAAAAAGATATTTGCAAACAAAAAATAAAGTATTGAGCAAAAAATAATTAAATGCAAATCTCAAAAAAAATTGAGAAATACATTTTGCTAACAAAAATAAAGAACTGCAAAGGGAAATTTTAGTTTTGAGAAATAAAATAATCTAGATAAACTGAAAAAAAATCAAGCATTGCAAAAAATAAAAAAAATAAAATATTTGCAATTAAAAATATACAAATATAGATCTTTTTGCAAAGCATATTTTATAGCATGACCTTTATTTACACAATTGCAATGCTCATTTGCTTTTTAGTCAACCGTGAGCGATACTGTTTTCACTTTGCACTACACATTTCTGCTCTTTTCACTTTGTAGCCCTAATTTGACAAGGGGGCGGAATCAAAGGAACTTGGGCGTTTACGGCAGACCGGTACCTGCCTCCATTTAAGCTTTGCATCATTTGCTTGCCAACCGTCATAAAACTTTGAAAGAAGAAGCTCAAGCAGAGCAGAGGCACAGGAGAGAAGTTCAGGTATATCTAACTGATAGATGATAGCCCCCTTGTCAAACCAGGGCCGCAAAGCGAATCATGCAGAAATGTACAGTACAAAGTGAAAACAACATTGCAAACTCACGGTTGACTAAAAAACAAATCAAAATGAGCATTGCAATTGACTGAACGGGTTTTGTAAAGGCGATGCAATAAAAATGTTTTGCAAATATTTACAGTTTTTTATAGTAAATATTTTAGTTTTTTTTTTTTTGCACTGCAGTTTTACTGTTGTTGTTTTTTTGCAAATTTCATTTTTATTTCTCAAAAATTAAATTTCGCTTTGCGATTTTTGAAGATTTGCATTTATTTATTTTTTTGCTCAATACTTTATTTTTTGTTTGCAAAACTTTCTTTTATTTTGCAAGTATATGTGGCCCTAGACTAACACCATAAAAAAATACTAAATAACATTTTCGAAAATAGCAAATCATGAGAAACAAAAAATAAATATAAACAATTTCGTTGAAATTTTTCTAGTTTGTAATTTTATTTGCATGAATTTAAATGTATTATCTTTCCATTTCTAAAGATGTCCTGTGACTAAAATAGTATTTCAATAAATATAATAAATCTGTTTTGTTCAAATGCACTAATATTTATAACCCATGTTCACTGAGAAATAGATCAAAATATTCATTTTCAAAATGGGGTGTGCTCATTAACACTAAGCACTGTATGTATTGCACATTATATATATATAAAAGAACATTTTGATAATGTTAAAGTTCAATATTTATTTTTGGTTTCCCTTTTGTTTTGTTTTGCAGTTCTGTAAGTGCATGGAAGACTTTTATAAAGTAATGACATTTAAAAGGAGCCCTCATCAATGATATACTCCTGACAATGCCGGGGTGAGCTTTTCATTTTGAGTCGCTTTCATCCAGTACAGGCTCTGGAAAAATAAAAATCGAAAAGTTAGTTCAATTTTAGTTTATAGTTTAGTATATAAGTTTAATATTCATTGTATACAGGATGTGAAATATACATTATTGATGAGGGGAGGTTAACTTTTATATTACTTTGTGTAATACATGCTACAGTGAATCAAATTAAATCAACACTGGAAACTGAACTGTTTAAATTTACTCTAATCTTCTATGTGATGCTGCATTGGCACAATCTGTAAAAGCACTATACAAATAAATATGAATTGAGTTGAATTGAATTAAAGGGGGGGGGGGGGTCAATTTCCCAATAAATCCCCCTGCAATTCACACCCTGATTGTATGTATGGAACAACGTTTTATACTCATTATATTACTATATTTATTTAAACATTTGAATTTGTCTGTATGTTTTATTATAAATGTATAGTTATGATAAACTGCGTTTTATAGTCATTTTTTTATGTGAAAAGTTGAATTTATTATTTTATGTTTATGTTTTGTTTTAAATGAATCTAAAATGTTTTTGGAGGGAATATGTAGTTATGTATGTTGCTCTTTATAGTATTGTATTTATTAATAAATGCACTTTTTTTTTACAAATTAATTACTTTTTAAATACAGATTAAATATATATTTATATTGCTTTATGTAACTTTTTAGGTATTTTTTAACAAATTCTATAATTCTTTTAATTTATTTACGTTTTGTTTTATTTAGATTTACTTATTTAATACTAATGTGTATATTTACCTAAATAAATTCCTAATTTTATTCTTATTTTTTTATTTTTAATAACTACATATCTCTTTATATATATTTCAAATTTTGTTGTATATGCCTTTTAAGTTTCTAAGGACCCCTGGCACTCCTTTGTTTACAGCCCAAGTTTGAAAAGCCTTCAAATAAATCCAAATGAAGTACCCACCAGAGAACTTAAATCCTGGGAAGTTTGTTAAGTCTCCACCACCGTAGAGTCTCTGGAGTTTGCTTAGTTCTTCGCTGAACGCTTTCTCATAGTCTGCTCCAGCATCTACAGGGCCAGCAGAGGCTCTATGGACACCATAAACAGGGTCAAATGTGCTGTTTAAAATATGTGAGAAGTTTGATCTACTGGAATGCTTGGAATGTTTTAATGTCATCTGATTTATGCAATGTTTTTCATACTGGCTCTTTGTGGAGTATTCCCGTATCTTGTGGAGAAAGAGTCTCTGTATTGGATCCAGCTGTTCTGCAGATTGAGAGGGAGAGATCACTGTTATTTGTCACAACTATCCCAAAATGTCAATATAATGCAGAATGCTTTAAATAGATGTGCTTTGAATGCCTTTGATAATAAAAAAATAGGAGTAATTTGACTGCTTTTCATGCTGAAAAGAAATTGAACAGAAAAAAGGTAAAAAAAACATTTAAAAAATGAAAAATTGATAATCATACTAAATGTGTCAAGAGACGTGGAGAAATTCACCCTCTTGTGGTGAAATTCAGAATAGTTCAAAGGAAGCAACGCCTCCACAACTCTGACTTTACCACAGACAACACCATTCTGATTAAATACTGTCAGCAAATATCTGTACTAAGAGAAGATGTTTACAGAAGCTGTATAGTTCTACACTTCATACAGATAGGTTTGTAAATTCATAGATGTGTCAGATTGAGACTGAAACTGTCTGCTTATGTTTGTGGCACAAATATATAATTTTTCATATATATTCCAAGTGACTTTTAATAGAACAAGATCTTTTCTATTACGTTTTTCTCCTGCAGAAAGATATTTTAAAACTGTCAAAACTGCCAAGGTCAATATTATAAGCCCCTTAACAAATTATTTTCAGAACAAACCTGTTTTCCAATAACTTGCCAAATTAACCTTATCTTGTTAACCTAATCAATTAAGCCTTTAAATCACACTTTTTTTATGAACTAATTAAACTACTGGCGCAAAATGAGGCAGTGGCACAGTAGGTAGTGCTGTCGCCTCACAGGAATAAGGTCACTGGTTCGAGCCTCGGCTCGGCTCAGTTGGCGTTTCTGTAAGGAGTTTGCATGTTCTCCCTGCGTTCGCGTGGGTTTTATCCAGTCTTATGCAGTTCATCAAACTCCATCTTTTAAAATCGAAATCGAAAGCAAAATAAAACAGTCTCCTCATAAAGCTGGCTTATCAGCGTGCTGCATTAAAAACATGGTTTGATTCTTAGTTTTGGCGAAAGTGGCATTTAGAGGCTTTTGCATCTGAACTCTTCATATATATATATATTTATATATATATAAAAATGCGCATATATACATATATATATATATACATATACATATACATATATATATATATATATATATATATATATATATATATATATATATATATATATATATATACATACACATATATATATATATACATACACATATATATATATATATATATATATATATATATATATATATATATATATATATATATTTATATATATATATATATATATATATATATATGCACATTTTTTACATAATTTACAGGGTAAATTTGGCTTAAAACAAAAGTTTTTTTTTTTTTTTTTTTAAATGAAACCCTTTTGTACTGATAAGCATTTTAAGCTCACAGGGCAGCTCACACAAACATAAAACAAAGATTTTTTGAATCTTAAACATGTTGCATTGTATTTCATCAAATAACTTACACAAAAAAGTAAATGGTGCAAACAACAACAAAATACTAAATCGTTGGTAAAATATAGATTAAGTTGAAACATACCCTCAGGCAGCATCTCGGCTGCTTCTGTCTGGTTCTCTTCCACTAAAATATCCGTTTGTGCAAGAACTGGGTCCTTCAGACTGATGGAGCTTTGAACATTGGCAGACATTTCTGACAATCCATCAACCTTTACGGCTTTACAGGCGGATACAGTCCCAGCAACTGAAAGATCGTCAGTTGATTTAAATAAAGAGACTCCTGCGATATACTCAGTAGATGGAGAGACTTGACAAACCTCTCCAGATCTACTACAGAAAGCTTCGGAAATATCTTGTATGGCTGAGCCATCTGGTAAAGACTCTGGAAATGCCTGATTGAGGATCTGTCCATCAGAAGATTGTTTGTCTGCAATGACATTTGAAGACCAGTTAGGAAAGTGTTGAGGGAGAGGTTGTGGATAGTTTTGTGCTTGTGCAATGTTCACATTCACGTTGACGTCTTCTGAAAGACAACGCAGCTCTTCTCCTTGAAACACAGATGAAACTTCAGGAGTTGTCATGATAGCATCAGCCATGTTGACGGTCTCTTCACAAGCAACTACCTGTGGTGTGTGTTCATCAAAAGCATCATGATTCTGTGTGTCGACTTCATAGGATGAAATGACTTCTGATGTCTGAGAAGAAACTTGAGTGATATTTGTAGTCACATCTCCATGAGCATCATTAGTGGTGGATCCAGCATATGAATCAACGAAATTGGATGCTAAATCATTTGCGTTTGAAATTTGAGTGTATTTTTTCTTATTCAGACCCTCTGTGGCATTTTGGTCAATAACATTTGAATATGCAAAGTCCACAGCAGGACGGATTAGGATAGAGTTAAGTCTGGATGCGGTTTCATTCAGAGAAGAACCTGTAGGGCTGGTCACTGCTTGAAGATCTACTAAAGTGTCTTGAACTGGTTTGGTGTGCACAGGAATGGCAGATTCTGAAGAATCTTTTACTGGAGGGTTAATGGTAGAAGTTTGAACTTTTGCATTGGCAATAAGCATTGCGTCAGTTGATTGGTTTGGTGTTGCTGGTTTGGTTGTATTAGAAGCAAACGGTTTTCTCTCGTTGGTCTCTTTGCTCTTTTGCTGGAGCAGTTTGGCAATATCATTTATAGATTTTGGTTTCGCTTTCTCTAGGGAGAAGTTACGTTATATTAATACATGTAACAAATCAAGATAAATGTCTATTTTTTTTTGTACAAAAAACAAAACTTTCTTCTAAATGTGACCCTGGAGGACAAAATAAGAGGTCTTAAAAAGCACTATTATTTTGGAATAGCCAACCATAACCTGTAAGAAATATCTGTTATTTACAGTTCCCATATATTGTGGTTCACATGGTGTTGTTTCCTGTTTATTTCCAGGGTTCACACTGATAATTGATTATAAAGCGTGTTTGGCATGCTGTCTCAGAAGAGAGCCCTGAGCTCATGAGATCCTCGAGCCCAAGCTCCCTCCCGTTTGCAAGACGAGCTCAGGTGGATCTCGAAACTCCTCCGCCGTAGTAGCTAATGAACAGATGGTGATTGCTCTTGAGAGATAACTATTTACTAGGAGCATGTCTATGGTGCCGATTTGGATTAGTCAACTTAAGTTGCATGTTTTTGAACGGTGGGAGGAAACCGTGGAACCAGGGGGAAACCCAGTCGGCTGGCTTGGTAAGGACTAGATCCAGTGACGTTCTTGCTGTAAGGCAACAGTGCTAACCGCTGGGCCACTGTGCCACCCATCTAGGAAAGGAGGAGGTGTAGGGGTGGAAGGGGGGATTCTTCTAAACAAAGACAGCTGTCATATGGAACTTAGGGTATTTATAGTGGCTTAGGAATCGTCTGATTGGTGAATCATAAATTGGATAATGCGGGGCCAGCCGCAAACAATCATAAGCATGTGATCCTCACAAAATTAGTTTATAAATAAACTACACTTATGGTTGTGAATTGGATTATGGGAGTTTTATCTCTGCTCTGTCGAGATCTGATGTTGAATATTCAACGCTGCAGATTAACAAATTTTATGGGTATTTTACTAGTTTGACACAGGATATTACTTAAGAAATAATAGAGAGTTAAGTCTGTAAATTGACAGAAAAAGTGCTGACAGTTTATGACCAGGTTTTTGTACCGTAATTTACAACACAAACACAGACAGCAAATCACGTCAAACTATTAAAAATGTCAACAAAATTCCACATTTTTTGAACATCAAAAGCTTTTGGAGGAAAGATCATGATCTCATAATGCAACTCGAAAGCAAAAATACCTAAAAAAAAAAAAAAAAAATCACCAAATACCGATAACTTTAGAATTACAAAATATATTTACAGTTGTACATTGTAAGAGTGAAAATTATAGGTTTTAAGTGCAAAAACACAAAAGAATATTAAGGAAAGACCATATTCCATGAAGACATTTTGTAAATTGAAAATCTTACAAATTTATAAAAACTTTAAAACAAACTTTGACCAACAATAAAGGCAAGTGTCTCAATATTTAGATTTTCTTGAACACTCAGATTCCTGATTTTAAATAGTTTTATCCCTGCCAAACCCAGCCGGGGTTACACAAGGGAGGAGATCGAGTAACATCTTTCACAAAAATCGAGATGCAACATAATGCAGGTCAAATGACAGTATGTTTGTTCTTGGGGAGAATTTGTTTACCCTTTCAGCTCTTCAGGGTTTCTCTCATTCGAGTCTCGGACGGTGTTTTTCTGACAGCTTGTTTACTTGTCCGTCGGAAATTAGGGCATGTCTTCAGTTGACATTAAAACGGAATTCAAAGCCTCTCACGTTACTACGCCAGTACAGACGATGGAATTAGGAGTGTAGTATGAAGGAATAAAAGACAGACGGTACAGAGGAATGAAGTAATTACTCAGGTTGTTCCGTGAAGCCTGGAGACGTTGCGTAATCGCTGTGACACGCCCCCTGCGCGTGCTTGAATACGTCGTGTGCCCATCCATCACTGCTCACAACGTATAAAAATAGTCAAAGTTTGACATAGAGAATGTTAAAGAAGCCAGTTTCCACAAAAACCATGTAAACATAAGCTTTTTGTTTAACAATTGTGTATGCGATTACTTAAGCGCAATTCCCCCCCCACATTTCTGACTGGGGGAGGTCAGCAATTGCTCTAAAAAAAAACAACAACAACAACAGCAACTCTCATAGAGCGTATAATGGTTTTACAGATTGAAATGGGGGGCGACACAGTCCATATGCTGGATAAGTTGGCAGTTCATTCCGCTGTGGCGAATAAAAAAATACTCACAAATTACTCAGTGGTTTTAAGCCATTAAAAGTTTCTTTTTTTCTTTAATTGAAAACAAAAGAAGATAAAACCCCCAAATCAAACAAAAGGTGCTCAGGAGTAGTTTAAATAATGTGTGTGGTTTTATGAATAGTTATGCCAACAAGGAACAGCCATGTCAATGAAGGCTTTTAAATATCTTTTTTCACATTTTTAGAGTGCCTTCAACTATCAAAAGAAGATACTTTGAGAAATGGAAGTACCACTATGGAAGTCAATGGTTACCGGTTTTTAACATTCTTCACAATATATTCTTTTCAACAGAAGAAAGTCAAACAGGTTAAGTAAAGGGTTGAGTAAATGATGACAGAATTTAAACTCGCAGAGTGTGAGTTAAATCACAGTAAACCATTAAAATGTACTGGCTTTAATGGTTAACAGTTGATAGTTTTCAGGGCTGCAAGATATAAACTCACATTTGAGAATTTTAGTTAAAATTGTTAAATGCAAATCCTTTCCCCCAACATTTTGACTCAGATTTGTAGCAAAGTCACTGTTAAACATTTACATTTTAGCAAATCTCAAAATCATGGATTTATATCTTTCAAAACAGTGGAATACAATAGTCTATTTGACACTGTAAAACCAATAAAATGCCATAAAATTACTCTTCTCATTTCAGAAAATTGCCTAAATTAATTTTCTGGTAATTTTTAAAATGACCTCTTCACACATTATGTAATTTACCAGAAATTTTCCAGAAAATTCTGCAAGTGCAAAAGAGGCTAAAGTCACAGTTTTATAAGTAAAATACCACAATTGTAAGATGTGAATTCAGAATTGGGAAAGCTCAGAGTCTATATAAGTGTTTATCTTACGATTCTGACTACTTCATCAGTTTTGGAAAGGAGGTCAGCATTGCCTTCTAAAAAAACAACAGAAATTCTCATAGATGTGTAATGATTTTAATGATTGTCACAGGAATTGCTCTCTATTGGTAATTTGTTAGGAATTGCTTACACACAAATACATTTTTTTTTTCATAAATTACTTAAGTAGTTCCAAACCTTTATGAGTTTTTTTTCTTCCGTTGAACACAAAATAGAAAATACTTTGAAAAATGCAAGTCCTACCATGGAAGTAAATGGTTACCGGTTTTCAACATTCTTCACAATATCTTCTTTTCAACAGAAGTTAAAAAAGTCTGAGATTGAAAAGTCAAACTGGTCAAGTAAAGGCTTGAGTAAATGATGACAGAATTTAAACTCGAGAGGTTATCCTAAATCACAATAAATAAATAAAAAATACCTTTGAATGTGTAACGGTTTTAATGATTGTAATGCTTACCCAAGTGGTTCCAAAACTATTATGAGTTTAATTTTTCTTCCGTTCAACACAAAAGAAGATACCTTGAAGAATAGAAGTACTACTATGGAAGTCAATGGTTACTGGTTTCAACGTTCTTCACAATATCTTCCTTTCATCAGAATAAAGTCACACAAGTCTGTGATGAGTAAACGTTGAGTAAATGACCACAGAATAAATTATTATTGGGTGAACTGGCTTTTAAGGTAACCAAATTTCCTATTTCGAGAGTGCATCCGAAAAACACTGAACCCATTAGAATGTACTGGTATTAATGGGTAACAGGTGACGGTTTGTAGCATTTTTTCTGCCGGCTGAAAGATATAAACTTGCATTTAACAATTTTAACTAAAAGTACCAAATGTAAGTTGTATTTCTGAGAAAATAACATCGGGATTGTGAGGTCTGGCTTTCCCCAAGAACTTTGACTCATACATTTGTGGCATTCACAGTTAAACTGTGATCCTAAATTACAGATCTTAAAATTGCGGTTTAATATCTTTCGATAAAACAGCCCCCATCACACACTAAAATCTGAAAAATTACTGGATCGACTTTTCATTTCAGAAAAGTGCCTAAATTAGTTTTAAAGTAATTTTTAAAATGACCTATATAATTATATAATTACTGCAATTGATCAGTAATTTTCCAGTAAAGTCTGCAAGTGTAAAAGTTATATTCAATTCATCTTTATTTCTGTAGCGCTTTTACAATGTAGATTGTCAAAGTAGCTTAACATAGAGGTGTTAAATTAAAACTGTGTCAGTCCAGTTTTCAGAGTTGATGTTCAGTTTAGTTCAGTTCAGTGTGGTGTGGTTAAATTTCACTGCTGAAAGTCCAAACACTGAAGAACAAATCCATCGATGAGCATCTCCACAAGTCCCAAAACCAAGCAAGCCAATGGCAAGAAACAAAACTTCCACCAATTTACGAAAGTGAAAGAAAAAACCTCGAGAGAAACCAGGCTCAGTTGGGCACAACCATTTCTCTTCTGGAAAAACTTCTTGTGCAGAGCTGCACTCTAAGTGCCAGAGGCTGGAGAATGCTGGACGTCCATCGTGAATAACTGCAGATGTGAGCAGGACACCGATGGGGGATCAGGCTGGCCCATGAGATCAATGCGAAGACTTGTCAAAGACACTAGAGTCACAGTTTCATAAGATAAACATCAGAATTGTGAGATGTATACTCAGAATTGGAAAAGCTCGGAGTCTAAGTGTATATCTTATGATTCTGATTATTTCATCTCCATAATTATGAATTATTTTTCCGTTGGAAGTTTTTTGCATATTTCTTGCAATTCTCATTTTAAATTGAGAAAACGTGGAAAAAAGTTGTAAAAAAATTGAGATACAAACTTGCAATTCCTTGAGAAAGAGTCAAAACTGTGAAATGTTGACTTGTAAAAATATGTAAAATATGTGTGCAAGACAAATCTAGAGCAGTGTTTCTCAACCACATTCCTGGAGACCCACCAGCTCTGCACATTTTCCATGCCTCTTGACCAAACACACCTGATTCAGATCATCAGCTCATTAGCGAAGACTGAAAGACCTGTAATGGGTTTCACAGACAAAACGAGACATCCTAAACATGTATGTGTTGGTGGTCCTCCAGAACGTGGTTGAGAAACACTGATCTAGATGCACTGGGACACATCGTCAGTGATGTATCCTGGGGTCAGTAGGTGTTTCAGTTCTTTCAACATCCGACACCCTCACCCAGTTGACCCAACTGCGGTTGATCAGATCCCTGCTTGCGTCCCAGGAGCAATCGCTCATGGATCAGTCCTCTTTATTCATAGCCATCTTGTGGCTTTCTCTGCAGCTTCAACAACAGACTTAATGGCCCCCTTCTTAACAGCCATTACTTGGTCTAGTTGGTTGAAAACAGAGTGCACACTCTGCAAACCCTCAACATCCCAATTTTATAGGCGCACAGTGGGTCTTCCAGCCCCCATCCTGGCACTTCTCTACTGTAGCTCCTGGTTCTTTGAGGGTTTCATTTCACTTGCCTCTTCCTTTAACTCTTCCCAGGGCGCTGCGAGTTCAAGCAAAATCAACTGTCTTGTTGCTTCAGAAATA